TATAACTGGATAGTAATGGTGTGGTGAAATAAATGCATCACTTCAATTTACTTGGCTATGCTTAATAACACGACTCCACTTTTCAAAGCGGGAAACTTTCTTCCTGAATGTTTTCTCTTTTGCTTTCACCCGGTCCCTCCTGAATAGCCAATCTTATTACAATTTGCCTGATGCAGACTGCCTATTGGCCGTTTGAAGAAGGCACACCCTCCAAACGTTACGCGAATCAAATATCTCGAAATATATGTCGCTGGTGATTCACTCTCTGCTATGGAATAGTGTTTAACACCGCAATTACAAGAGGATTCCAGTTATTATTTACAAAAACAAAGTGCATTAAAGTAAATCATTGGCAGTACTTATTCCGCTAAGTTCGCAAAAGATTACGTCAAGATTTAAAAGCCGTGCAGGTATAAAATAAGAGAGAAAATAATGAAATCACGAGAATTATCCTGTACAAATCGACCCCAAACAATAATCGGCATCACTGAACATTGAGTGGCGTCTGCACAGAATTCTAGTACATTGTCCTCGACGTCAAAAGGAAGAACACCTACCCACAACCTATACACACAAGGCTTTGTTTCTTCGCGGAAAATTCTCGCTGTTTTTTTCGAGGCCTCACTGCTTGTATAATCCGAGTACACCACATTGCTGCAGGCAAAATTCCATTAAAAGAGAATCAAACAGAATCTTTGAATTTGCAATGGATTATTCCAAATAAAATGTTGGTACAAAAAAGGCTTCCCCTAAAATGTTTGCCGTGTACCTGCGGCGCACATAACTAATAGTGCAAGAGAACAACATTAGTTTTATAGTGTTCTTAGGGTTCACATATGGAAATTAGAAGTTATTGTTTTCGCACCAACACATAAAAGTAGCAGTTATTTGGAGCTAGATTTGTTATCAATAAACGATGCCGTCATTTCGCTTGAGCGTGGTCTACTTCACAAACCCGTTTAATGTGGTTTTTCAAATGCATGTAATGAGAAGCTTACTACCTGTTATTATATTTACGTCAGAAATGCTTGCACTTCTGAGAACAGTGCAACATGCTTTGAGGCACTACTATGATAGTCGATACAACAGAGTAGTTTAATTGGGTTGTATGCTCAGGCATCAAGAAGGGGTTGAGAGTGGTGCTGCCAATTTTGCTAGAAACATAGCACAATATACGTTGCGCATACATCACTAACGACTATCCATTATCATGATGGCATCACTGAATATCGGGCATCAAATTTTTAGCGGAACGCTTGGCAAAATTTTGTGTAATTGTCCGGTTTGTTTTATCGCTATTTAGTTTGCTAGAAACAACCTCAAAAATTATTTAAGGCTCGTTAGTAGATGCTGAGTGAGTGTCACTTGGAGAACCTATTTCTAAAGAGATTTCAGACGACTTCCTTCTTGGTGGACAACATCAAACGCTATTATTTCGCGTAGTTCGGCTTCATGTGTTTTGATTAGACTCTGTAAACTTTAAACGAATGTTTATAATCTTTCTGGGTTCCCTGTTTCATAGTTCAGCCTCCAAAGCCTGCTTAACTCAAAATCACAGTAGTTTTGACTTGCGCTCCTGGAGAGATATGTTTCTGACAAAGCACCAACATTTAATATTGGTAGCCGAATAAATATTAGTGGCACGAATATACGCAGTCTGTGCACAGCAGCACGGTGGGAGTTATATCACATACAAAGTTGTCAACGAGAACACTCGCTTCAATGATTTTTAAAAAGGAGAAAACTCAGTTTGTCCAAGTCAAGGGCGCCCAATATTCGGGTACAACAAGCTTCTATTTGGTGAGTGTTCCGCATTAGCCGGTCGCTATGTAAATTGGCATCACACAAGATAACGCATTAGCGGTCTTTCCAGAAATAAATGCATTCGTGCAGAACTCATCCCACCGGTAGTTTACTGGTAGCCTGAAATATGGTAGGTAGTATCGTTGAGTTCAGAGCCATAGATTTGAACGCACACAATTACCGTAGAAATTATCATCTTGAACATTTACACTATCCCGTTATTTAAACTATCTGCTATAACATCCGTTCTGCACAGTGATAGTACATATAACCCTAAAATCTCTCTAGACAATCCGTAAGAAACGGCGAACGTTCAAGTACTAAAAGTGGGATATCTGTCGAATTGCAATAGCTTCAAAAAGTCATTGCTGTTGTGGTGCAGCAAATTGGGCGAAAACTTGTATTCACTAAAATGATTTGCCTTGGCACTATTTTGGTATTTGTTCGTTGCAAATCAGATAAACTAATTGCTCATTATTCAAGTAACTTTGCTATTGGATGGTCCAATCCCGTATTTTGGGAGATTAAATTATGTCTAGCTCTCGCCAGTGCCCATTTCTTAAACTGATTACTCGAAACTACCCAAAATTTTTATGTGATAGTTTCCGAATATCAGGGTCTGTTTTTCTTCCAATGAACAAATAGCAGAAGTTTATTTTATCCTCCGTCGGCACGGTGAGGGCTGGACTTTGCTAAAGTTTTCGCATAGAAATTTTCTGAAATGCACTCACTTTGCCACACATTTAAGGTGTCCGGGTCCCCTCAATTAGCCAGTGATGCTGAGGATTTTGCAAGATTAGGCGCCTGCATGTGTATGTACTACTTTTATTTTAGCACCACGGACGCCATATCTTTGATTAGCTCATTTTGTGCTCTTACTTCTTATGCACATGAGAAAATGGGAGATCTTTGGGATGGACTGCTATTGTCTGTTTATCACAGGTTGGATTTCAGATGGGATAAACTAAACTACGTTTAGTTGGTCACCAAATTCATTGGCAGTAAGGCTATAATCGGCAGTTAGAACAATGTGTGCCACAGGTCAGCACATAAACTAACTCGACCTTCCACGGGATCGGGAAAAATTAGAACAAACCCAAGACTTTAAATAGACTGACTTCAGTCTGGCATCACTAAACGGATACGACAGGGTGGTTTTGGCAATTTAGATGCAGGTTAGGATTCGATATGAGTTCACAATACGAAAAAAGAATGCATATCAATTATATTTATCCCCTTCTATTGTGTACGATACGATAATGATGTAACTCCCGGCGCATATTGCGTAATTCCCACACATTCATGCCGAGTCATACAACCCAAGAGTTATAAACACATTTTTTGGCCCGAAAGCTATATTCTTCGATTTGTTTTCAACTGTAAAGATTAAGGAATACGCCAGCCGGCTTCACCGTTGATGGGTCAGGTATGAAGATAGTGACGACATTTTACAACTGATGGGGTATGTAAAAGATTATTTCCGTATTTGTTGCTTAAGGCCAAATCACATACGTACTTGAAGCAAGGTGTACAACAGGATGGAAAATGATATAAACGCTGAGAAAATAATTACGTATTATACCACTATGCGATTGACAAAATATTCGGCAATTAGAAGAGTTTCTGTTACCGTCGATTTATTAGATATCAAATGTCTAACGCTTCCGCTTAATGTGCTTGCAAGTTTTATTTTAATTTCCTTGTCAGAATTTACCTAATAAAATTCAGCGCAATCTTAGATGCGATCAAGTCGTATCCAGACGTTTCGTTGGAAAATCTCCTGAAATGATTAGTTGATATGTTCCTCTGTTTGTGCCGTTTCCTCAAATCACGTTTATCAAATTTGTCAAGCCAGGCGTCCACTAGTCACTATGAGGTACCTTATCCGGAGACTTCATTTTCTATCAGATTTATTAACCTGCATGGAATTATAAAAATAAATTTCGCCGAGCCCCTTGAAAGACAAAATATCTTGGTACGTTGAATAAGCGCGGGGGTGTCGTATGCACTTGGATGACCTTGATTTCAACAACTTTACCCATTTTTCATTGCATCAACATGAGCCACTCATTTGCTCCCATACCAGGAGTCTTTCAAATAGCACACAGAAATTAATCTGGGAAACTCTGCAACTCTTCATGGATCGGGTTCATTTTACTGGGATCTGTATTCACTCTACCCAACAGTTATGTAAAATGTCGACCGAAAACTTTTAATTTAATTAATTAAAAAATGACTGTCCACGAAATACAGTAACCGGGTGCTCGGTGTTCTTGAGCCCTGTCGTGTTTTCTTTCACTGTTGAATAGCGTGGTTTGCTATTTATGGCAAAATTGCACACGTTACTATTTCGTTATTTATATTGTTTTTCTTTATATCTGAAAGACCACTGACTCATGATGTCGTCCTCCGCTTCCTTTGTTACCCGAGAAGTGCTTCACTTGGCCAATCGGGAATACTTGTGCTTAGGTTTCAAATTAAATGACATTATTTAGCCCAAGAGAATCGTATATAGTCGCAACAATAAAACACTTGACAGAGCAACTTTCGTATAATTGCTTATTGAAAAGTCTAGGTTAGATGGTGTGGGGCATACTAAAGTTGCCCTTCCAAACAACGAACTGAGTTGACATTACCCACCAGTCTCTCTCATCTATGCGCGCACCTGAAGGAACAAAGCATACAGGTGAACACACTGTCAAGAAGAAAGCCTAGTAACTTGAGACTCCGGAACGCATGCATAAGCACATCAGCATTAATTAACAAGATTATTTTTTTCGCCAGCCTATTATGTAATTTCAAATGTTGGTCCTTTCCTAACGAAAGGACCATAAAATGCTGCCTTGTAGGGAGAGAGGAATCT